TAGGGAAAAAGTAACTTCTTTTAAGGAGACCACCTGTTACAGTTGGAAAAAAAGAGAGAGAGGGAGAATGCCTGCATTTGTGTTGTGGGAGATATGTTTGCTTGTTATGTGGAGATGGAGTGTACCTGGGGTCTGCAGATGTTCATCAGTTTCAAAAGTTGAGACCACGCTGCTCCTCAAAGCTTAACAGAAGAGGCCCTTTCCCAGTGAAAACACCGAAATTTTGTCGAAAGGAGGAGGAGCAGGAGGAATTCACTGATTGAATCAACACAAAGATGCTGCCTTCTGCAGAGTTTTACAGAGATGATTATTTTAATTGCCTTCTTATGAAGAGTAGTGCAATATAAGAAAAGGCACACAAGAAGTACAGGTTTGTTCACCACCAGAGGTAGGAAAAAATAAAAACTGTTCTGGCTATGCTGATCCTTACAATGACAACTAAATAATCTACACAAGGGAAATCAGTGTCATGCATTTGTGGAGTTATCAGCTGGAGGAGATGACAATTTGTACAGGAAGACAAAGAAGATAAGGACTGAGCTAACGGGGAGACTACAAAGGGTAGTGTTGAACTACTGGCTTGGAGGCAGGTTATTGGTGAAATTCCTATTGTTCAGCTCCATATTACTTGACATTTTTATTAATGATCTCAGTAGAAAACATAAGAGGGTGTTATTAAATTCAGGACATTGTAGTGCTGGCAGATAAAGCTGATATGGAAAATAAATGGAATATGTTACAGGAAGAACTCCCGGTTCTAAGGACTGGAGTAGTAGAAACGAGATAAGCATCAATAACACAAAGTTTAAGGTTATGCATAATAATAGGAAATTCTCCTGTGAACTTTGAGCTTATTAGTTGGAAGCAACAGAAGAGGAGAAAGAACTGGGTGTATAGCTGGCCACGGGATGATTGTAAACTGCCAACATATTGCAGCCGTGGCGGGGGAAAGCCATTATATCTTACTGTAATCAGGCAATAAGTTTTGTAACCGGTAGATAGAGGGAGAATAAATTCTGCCGTGTTCATGATTCTGGTGAGACCTCACCTGGATTATTAAGTATAATTCAGACATTTGTGTTCAGGCAAGATAAATTCAGATTGGAATGGGAGCAAAGATGATCTAATAGCATGCTGAGGGGAAACAGAGACCGCATTTTACAAAAGCAAATGAAATATCTTGGCTTGTTTATCCTAGCAAAATGAAGGCTGAGAGAAGATAAGATTGTTCTCTATAAATACACCAGGAAGATAGGCGCTGGGAATAGACAGGAGCTATTTAAGTTAAAGGCCAATTTTGGCAGCAGAACAAATGGGTCTAATCACTGTGAATAAATTTAAGCTGGAAATTAAAAGGGGATTTCTAAGAATCAGACAACAAAGTTCTGGAAGGGAAAG